TTCATGGGTTTTTTTTTATTTGTTTGTTTTTAGAAAAGGGTGTTTGTTCTTTACCCCCTAGTTTTGCATGTATCATAAGATTTCATTCCCATTCTTTAGAAACTAAATGCTAATAAATGTGCTCCTTCATGGAGCTGATTCTTATGTTTAAGCATTTTATTTAACATTTTTCTTCTCAAATTTCTTGAGGGTCGCTACTCATCTTTACTGATATTTCCTGAGGTCAGCATTCATATCCCTTCTCTATTTACTTTACTCTTCAGCAAGGGCTGCAATGGGCATGCTCAAACACTGCACCAAGGAGTAAAATGTCATCTCAGGAATAATGGCTAGCTCTTCTCTCAAGTTAGAAGATAGACGTTTCTATTCTATCCTAACTGGAAATAGGAGAGAAAGCTGGAGGTTTGTGTGTCTTCCATGGCAAACATCTCTCCTTTTTTCTTTTCCTGAACACAGCACTTTCCCGTAATCTAGCTATTTATAGGGGAAAGGAGGAGGGAAAGTGCTTAAAATTATTTCAGTTAACCTATTGAGATAGTGTTTGGTGGGAGTCCATAGCAATAGGAATTATATAGAAGGCTCCTGTGTTCACTGGTTGCATCTATAATATATGACAGGGAAAAGAACACAAAGTACATGTGCTTGGGACATTGGGGTCTTTGGCTAATGTTTTTACACAAAAGATTAACCCATTTGTTCAGTAATGGTGTTATTTGCTCTTCTAGCTGCTGTGGTGTGTGTGACACTTCTGGACAGACTTGAATATGACCAGATCAACTTGCCCCATGATGTGCTGGTGGAGTACCAGCAACGGCCTCAGCTCCTAATCTCCAACTTCATCAAACAGCGGCTTGGACTTTGTGACCAGACATCATAACTAGGCAGCCCATTCCTTCCCTGCAAGTCTGTAGTTCAAGTTGTAATGTTGACATCATGTATTGTTTGTGGCATTGTCATGTAGTTCTTTTCCACATGCTAAAATCCTAATAGAGTGATTTTGTAAAACCCCTTTCTCTTAAAAAATGAATTTGTCATAAAAGAATTTAATATGCATATTACATTAAATTCAAATTTCATTTTTGAATCCATTATCCATTAACAAAGTCAGTCTCATAACTAAACATTTAAAACTCCTGCATTGTGACATTTGGAGTTTCATATACAGCATGAATTAAACTCACATCAAGATAGATCGGGTTACCAGTCACTCTGTTTTTGAAACCAGTCCAGAAATTCATGTTAGAATAGTCAGGAGCTTCTAGGTATTGGACAAATGACAGAAATTGATCATGCACATTCAAAATATTTACAGAAAAAAAGTGTCAGTGTAATGTAGGTCTATATGAAAAAATCTACCCTTTGGAAAATATGACCATACTTCTTTTTTTTTCCCCCTGAATGATTTCAGTGCATCACAGAGTAGGATTAGAGGCTTACGTTTGCCTATGTTTGTGATTTTATCACAGAATATAATCATACACTTATTTCTCAAATGAAAACCCTCAGTAATGCAAAGAAAGTTTTTCATATTTCTTCAGAAATCACAAGTGATTAGATTGCCTTATGGCAATTTTTTTTTCTTTTAAGGAAATGCATTTTAAGGAGGCTGTATTTTTTTAAAATTTCATTTCAATATTAACATAATAGGCTGAGGAATTAATAACAACCCAATTTAGAATTGAGTTCAGGGTGTTAAATTCAACATTTTGTGTGATTTTGAAGCAGGTCTTACCTGCACCCTGCCTACAACTCTAATCAGTTAGACCCTCTGGGAGGCACAGTGTCACTTAGAGAGACTGTGCCATGCTCTCTGTGAGTTAATGCCGCCTGGGGGGTGGGGAGGTCTCAAAAGCTGACACACTTAGGAGTTGGGAAGTGTAGATGGGAGATGAGCAGAGGAGGGCTTACAATCTTGTACGGCATGTCATGTTGTGTACATATGGTTGTGGCTCCAATAAATTTTTGTTTTTAAAGAGTTTATTGGGGAATTGGGGGAGGGGAACAAAATTGGGGAATCAAGGAAGGGGAGCAGACAGGTAGACAAATTGCTGTTTTGTTCCTCAGTCTAGCTGTGGAGGACGTCCCTTCACTGGCCCATGTTGGTATGATCATTGTACTCTTCCCGGGTGAGACAATCAGTCACCGGTCATTGGTCAGCCGCTCATGGTGGCTCACAGCAGCTCACACCGGCTGCCGGCCGCTCACGCTGGCTGCCAGCCACTCACGTAGCTCACGGCAGCCCACTGCAGCCCTGCTGCAGCCTACGCCGTCACCGGCTGACTCACAGCAGCCCAGCTCCAGGTCGAGCTGTTTTTCACCATCTTAGCTGTAGAGGGCGCAGTGTCACTGGCCCTCAATGTGGGATCCAAACTGCGGCCCTGCTGCTCAGAGCTGGTGCTCCCAAGAGAGCTCTTAACCAACTGAACCACTTGGCGGGCCCGTGGCTCCAATAAATTTTAATTGAAACCATGACAAAGATTATTTGCAACCTTTCAATCAATGACAATGAACAATCCCGAGAGGTGCATCAGTTTGGAAACGTCTTTTGGCAATAGAAATTCTTAGAGTCGAATTTTTAAGGCACCCTAATAATTGACCATCAATTACAAAGATCAAAGCTAAAGTAATTTAGAATAACATTGCATTCATTACTGGGGTTTTTCACTTTGTTTGATATGTTTTTAGACTAAGTGGAAAGTACTTCTGAATGCTCTCCATAAACCTTCAAACTCCTTAAGTTTGAACTTTTATCTGTCTACTCGTGAAAAACTTTTATTTTTTTCTTGAGAGAAGAGGAGGCTATGAGAGAGGCAGAATAATGAAATAATTACAGTTGATTGTCCTCTCAACTCCTGACTGGGGGTGTGTGGGCATGTGTGCACCTGCATGTTTGTATGCGTGTGTTTTCCCCACAAGGATTTCCTGTCACAGTAAATGGTATCTGCTGCATAAGCCAGAAACCTGGGAAACTTCTCAGATGACTCTCCTTCATTTCCACTTCCATCAGTCAACAAGTCCTATTAATTGACTCTCCTAAATGTTTCTCCATTTGTCCACCAATAAAAAGCCTTCCTGGTCCTCACACCAGATTCCTCCCAGTCTTGCCTACAGCCTCCCGCAGTGCTCTCTGTCACCTCTTTAAAGTACTCCTCACAGCTTGCAATTAGGTTGTGATTAGGGTCATTTAATTAATGTCTAGTCTCTAGGCTATAAGGTTAATGAGGACAAAAACTGTACCTGTTTTTCCAAACAGTTCCAGTCACATGCAAGGTGCTCAATAAATATTTGTTAAATGAAGACTGAATCCTCTTAAAAGAATTTCCCTTCTAAACTCTCACTGAAATGCCCCTAGTCTTTGCAAGACCCATCTTTGTTGGCACAGCTCTCCCTGGCTGTCCCTTCCACTACATTTCATTTTGTGGGGTGGAAGTTCTCTGTACCATCATTGTAGCATTGTGGCGATGTCTAGAACCTCTTGTTTTCTCATATAGATACGGCTTTCCCCTCAGTGAAAACCAAACCCTAAATTCACCTATTTCAGGAAAGTTTCCAATTTTATTTTCCCCTCAGCCCATTATAACTTTCTTTCTTGTTCTTTAGAACTAGGGTTGCACTAGGAAGGTATCAATTTCTTCTCATTCATCTGTTGTGTTGACAACATTTGTCTTTTTCGTGAACTTGGGTTATGACTGCCCTACTTGTCTTCATTTGGGAGGTCAAAATCTCTGCTCTACCCTCAGACTGCCATGGAGTTTGTCCTCTGTAGGCATCCACTGACTGCTCACCTTTGTCTGCCCTAAGTCTGGCCACCACTAATCCACCTCACCTCTAACCCCACCTTCTCCACTTGTCCAGTCTTGCTCTCCTTAAACACCCTTCAGCAAACAGACAGTGTTGGCAAAAACACTTTTCTGGTTATTTCTATTTTGAGTTTGTATGTAATATTTTTTTCTTTCTTTATTCATTATAAAAACATATTCCTCCTTCTTCCCCCAAAGAATTAGAAACAGTTTACAAGAATAAATAAAAGCACATCAGGGTAGTATAAATTAGAATAAGTGGGAAAGAAGGAGAAAAAGCACAGGGAAGAGTGTCATTGGCACAAAGCCTGAAGCTCATACCCAGATGCATCTCATGTAGCCTATGCACTGGCAGTAGGCAGACTCTGAATTGGCTCTGGGCTAGCTAGCAGTTGCTTCATGAAGACAAAAAATTTACAGTCTCTTTAAGATAAAAATGTAAAGTAATGATTAGGAGAAGAACAACTAGTGTTGATTCTAAGAGGCAACACAGTAGTGTAGTGATGAGTGTGGGTCCTGAAGCCAACTGCCTGGGTGTGGTGAGGGTTGGGAGATGGGTGTGCCTGCTAATACATTTCCTCCAGGACACTGTGCAGTGGCTCTCCACAGTAGTTAGTGCACATTAGGGTCATCAAGGGAGCCTTTAAAAATGCCATTTAAGGCCCCATCTCAGCTCAACTAAATAAGAATCTCTGCAAGTGGGCCTGGGAAGCCCTGCTTTAAATTTTCCCTGATGATTTGCAGCCTGGGTCAACAGCCACTGACTTAGAAGAATGGATAGTCTGTGAATCTGGCAGATACTCCTTCAGCTGAACTTCTAAGTCTTTGGACGGTGTCTCCACTAAAGTAGTTCTATAAATACCAAGGCCTTTTACTTGAATCTTACTCCTCGACATCAGGAATAGTATATATAACAAGAGACAAAGAAGGACCCAGTAATCCCACTTCTGGATAATTACCTGAAGAGACACGAATCGCTTCTTTGAGGGAACGTGTGCATCCATATGTTCATTAAAGCATTGTTTACAATGGTCAAAATGTGGAGGCAGCCTGGGTGTCCATCAATGGATGAGTGGATCAAGAGAAAGCGGTGGAATATTGCTTGTCCAGGGAAGGGAATGGGTTCTTGCCATCTGTGGCAGCATGGACGGACCTGGAGGGTGTTGTGCTGAGTGGACTATGTCAGACAGAGAAAGGCAGGTGTAATGTGATTTTATTTATATGTGGAATCTAGAGATCAAAATAAACAAACAGAAACAGAGTCATAGATGCAGAGAACATTTTTGATGGTTGCCAGATGGGAGGGGGGTTGGGGGATGAGTGAAAAAGGGGGAAGGAATTAAGAAGAACAAATTGGTTGTTACACAGTAGTCATGGGGATGTAGGGTATAGCATAAGTAATAGAGTCAATAATAGGATAATAACTATGCATAGTGCCAGGTAGGTTCCAGACCAGGGGTCGGCAAACTTTTGAGATGGAAGAGCTGCCAGGGTTCAGCAAACTGCAGCTCAAGAGCCGCAGACTCTGAAGTAAAATTGAAAATGAAAATAAAACTATCATAGTCGCATTTATAATATTACTTTAAATTTTCGTTATTTGTAAAAATATATTCATGGCTCTCGAATAATTTTTAAATTTTTAAACAGGATTGGCTCTTCCAGGGGTTGGCAAACTTTTGAGATGGAACGTACCCAAAGAGCTTCATGTGGCTCGCGAGCTGCAGTTTGCTGACCCCTATTCTAGACTAATCAGAGGAGCACTTTTCTTAAATTATGTAAATGTCTAACCACTAAAAATAAATAAAGCTCCCCAAATAAAATAAAACAATGTATATACAAAACTAAGCAAAACCCCCAAAACAAACAAAACCACCAATAAATAAATGAATAACAAATACATAGCTGACTTCCTTTCAGGTTAATTTTATCCAAATATGATCACTTGACCAACTATTCAGAGCAATATGCATATTATTCAATATAATTTGCTACGTGAGCTGATTAACAGCCATGACCAGCTCTTCTATTCCATGTTTCACTTCCAAATACCAACTGACTAAACAGTTGAAGTTTAATTATTGCTTAGTAAAGCTCAATGTTTGTTCCAAAATACACCAAATAACTTTTCCTGGCTTATTTCTATCTAGTTATAGAATGTCACTTAGTACTTTATACCCTGTTGGTGCTTAATAAGGGGTATAAACCAATTTCACCAATATAACAGTCAGTTTGAATTTTATTTCCTTCTTTTAAAATTATAGCTCTTAAATTTTTTTTTAAATTTTCAATTATAGTTGACATTCAATATTATATTAGTTTCAGGTTTACAGCATAGTGGTTAGACATTTATATAACTGCAAAGTTATACAAATAACTATATAAGCCTAGTACCCACCTAGTACCCACCTGATAAGCCTAGTACCCACCTGATACCATACATAGTTATTACAATATTATGAACTATATTCCCTATGCTGTATTTTACATCCCCATCACTATTTTGTAACTGCTCATTTGTCCTTCTTAGTCCTTTCACCTTTTTCAACCAGCCTCCAATCCCCCTCCCATCTGGCAACCATACTCTGTTTTCTATTTCTGTGAGTCTATTTCTGTTTTATTTTTCATTTATTTTGTTTTTTAGGTTTATATATAAGTGAAATCATATGGTACTTGCCTTTTCTGTCTGACTTATTGGGTTATCAGAAAAGTCATGACATATTTTTCTATGTTTTTCATTGCAAAAATGCGTCATGACTTTTCCGACAACCCAATATTTCACTTAGCACAATATCCTCTAGGTCCATCCATGTTGCCGCTAATGGTAAGAGTTCATTCTTTTTTATGGCTGAGTAATATTCCATTGTACATATATACCACATCTTTTTTATCCAATTGTCTATTGATGAACACTTAGATTGCCTCCATATCTTGGCTATTGTAAATAATGTTGCAATGAACATAGGGATGTATACATCTTTTTGAACTAGTGTTTTGGATTCCTTCAGATAAATACCCAGAAGTGTAATTCCTGGAACACAAGGTAGTTGTATTTTTAATTATTTGAGGAACTACCATACTGTTTTCCATAGTGGTTGCATCGATTTTCAGTTCCACCAGTAGTGCACGAGGGTTCCCTTTTCTCCATATCCTTGTCAACACTTGTTGTTTGTTGGTTTATTGATGATAGC